CAGTGCGACGAGAGCACTGACCGCACGCGAGGGAAACACATGATTGTGTACCTCACATTTCTGAAGAACCGCCAAGTTGCATGCGAGTTTTTCACTTTGCTGACGGTCGAGCGGTGTGATGCAGGGTCCTTGTTTGAGGTGCTTCTGAACCATCTTCGCTCCGCTGTCGTCAATGTGTCCAAGATCGTCGGCATCAGCACGGACGGGGCGTCAGTCATGACCGGGAGAGAGAACGGATTGGTGGCACGTCTTCGTGAACACGTCCCTCATCTGTTCTCATGCCACTGCATCGCCCATCGGTATGTGAGTTGGTCTGTATTGTAGCATGTTATCTACGCTGATTGGTTTACTAACAAACCATAATACTTGTTCCCTGCTTTTCACAGTGAGGCGTTGGCTGTGAAGGACGCCGCTGACTCAAACCCGGATCTCGGCATGGTCGACAAGGTGGTGCGCACTGTGGCGACTCTGCTCGGAAACTCCAGCGTGTGGAGTCAGCGGTTCAAGTACCTGCAGCGTGTGATTTACAAGACCAACCTGGAAGTCCAAGGCATCCACACGGTGCGGTGGCTGTCTCGAGGAGATGCGGTGGCCAGGCTGTGCAAGGTCCTCGGCGCTTGCATCGTGCTGCTCTGGGAGCACAATCACAAGGCGTACGAGATTGTCACCTGCTACAAGTTTCAGTTCTGCTTGTTTTTCTTGGCCGACATCTTGGCGGACATGAACGACCTCAACCGCTGCTTCCAGAGACGAGAGGTGAGGTCGCATGTTTGTATGATGTTGCTACGTGAGGTTCGTAACTGCACTGTTGCTCATCCTTCTCCCTCTTGTCTACCCCTGCTCTGACACAGCTGGACGTGACTGAGATTGCGAAGACGATCGAGTCCACAACGAGTGACCTGACGGAGCGCTACTTGACGCCAGAGAAAGCTTTCGGGGGCGAAGGGAAGAGCTGGCTGGTGAACTTCCTCAAAGTCCACAAGGAGGGTGGAGGCAAGCAGGTCCGGGTGCGCGGCGTGGACGGTGCTGGACGCCCGATCAACCACCTGTACACCATGCATGAGCGGAAGCTGAAGGGGCACAAACACGGAAGCACCTACGCAGACTGCGTGAAGCTGTGCCGCAAATTCGCCCGTGACTGCGTGGACAACCTCAACAACCGACTGGATGACCTTGGGAAGCTGGGGCCGACGAAGCTGTTCCGGGCGGGGAAGTGGCCGAAGATCAAGGCCCAGCGAGAGAAGAAGTGTAAGGAGTGGCTGAACGGATGCAGCAGGCTGTTCCGCAACAAGCTGCCGGGATTCGCCCTCAAAGCAGCAGAGAGGGAGCTTCCAACCTTCTGCGCGATCATGGAGGCACACCATGAGATGGAGAGCTTCACCCAGGGCCTGTCCAACTTCCTTGGGAGCGCAGACTCCAAGAGGTAGCCTATACTTTGCTAACATGGGTTTTACAATCTTGTTGCGCATCGCTAACTGTTTCCGTTGTGTTGTGTGTACGAATGTGCCTGGCAGGAGATGGCCCAACCTCATCCTACTGTGGCAGGCGCTGGCTGTGCTCCCCCTCTCCACCGTGGAGTGCGAGAGGGGGTTCTCCAGGCAGAACGTCATCAAGTCCTGGGGGCGAGGAGCGCTGTGCAACGCGCGTCTGGGGGAGCTGATGCAGATATCGCTCCTCAAGTATGAGATCGACTGGCCGGAGGCACTGGAGGTGTGGAGGTCCCTGCGGAGGAGGCGCCCTGCGAAGAGCTTGAAGCTGGTTGTGGCAGAGAGGGAGAGGAGGGGGAAGCAGAAGGAGGGTGAAGATGTGGCTGCTGGAAATGCCGGGGAGAATGAGGATGAGGAGGAGGAGGAGGAGGAGGACGATGAAGTGGAACAGGCCTTCGGCGACGATCAGGAGATCGTGGGGGAGGAGGAAGCGGAGGACAATCCATTCCTGTCGGACGATGAGGATGTGGAGGAGGTGTACTTCATAGACAAGCCCGTGCACTAGACTAGATAGAGTAGGAAAGTGCATGCAGTTGTATCATTTTGGAAAATAGTGCACTGTTAATAGCAACCCTGTTTTTGAGCTGTGAACCCTGTCCGGTCAGAGTTGGACTTCGTGTGACACTGAGCTATCAGGGTAGCTACCTTGCGAAAAATGTGCCCTCATAATAGAGGGTCAAAATTTTTACTGGAATCAGGGAGTCCTAAAACGAAACGTCAGCCCTGAGAGCAGGGCGTGCGCGGGGCAGCGCGACGCAAGGCAGGGTAGGGCAGGGCGCGCGCTGACGTCGCAGCGCAGGGCAGGGCGTGGGGTAACGTGGCAACCGCAGTCGGTCACTAGGTAATGGTGGGCCCGGAAAAAAACGGTCCTACTGACCTACTGCTATGAAACCATGTCAAAAACTAACGAGCAGGAATGAATGCATTGATAAGAAATGTGGTACAAGTACTAACCCTAATTACGCCACTACAGCATATACAACACAAACAGCATTGTAGTTTCACATGGATATCCAACTGTTCATGGTGCTTTACAGTTGCCTACCTCTTGCCTGTATAATTATGTAGTCGCCATACCATTCGCGTCGATGACGACGGTCTGTCATCGTTCGTGGGGTTGACCTGTATTATAATTCATTTATGTAGACATCCCTTAGCGGGGATGTCCCAAAGCCCTCGCATCACTTGGGTTCGGCCCACAGTTTCAACCCGAACCATTTCCGAGTCGCCCCCGCACCAATTGCCACCTTTCCAAACCCCCCTTGCCCCGGTGTTCTCGCCTAGAAATCCATTGTATTTGTTTCTCACTTTCAATGTATCTACAGCATCCGTAATAAGTCTCATTATCAACTGATTCTGCACTCTTAGTTCAATTCACAACATACTTGGTGCTGTAAATAACCTAGTGTCAAGAATGACACAAACAGCAATCCCAACCGTATTTTTGAACGATCCCTGATTTACTCACGCCCTTGCTCTGTGGTGTGCTGTGCTTCATAAAACATCAGCACGAACCCATCACGAATCTTGAATGTCCACGTCAGGATCGACCTTGTTTCGTTGAAGGCACTACATCCATTTCTGGCAGACGGTCGAGACGTTGCTGCAACTGCACGTACGCCTCCCCTGCAAAGCCCTGAAAAATATGTTATGTTTTCTGACCGAAACGGAACGGCTTGAACCACATTTCCAATAATGGCAAATTCGAAGGAGGTGATCATGGCAATATGTTTATTCGTTTAGATATTCGTTTAGATATAAACTTTTGTCACAAACTTCTGTATTGCAGTGAAGATATAAAACCTTCGGGAACGGGCACGGAACTGTGCTTTTTTTTTTTTCAAAACGGGGTGTAAAGGTGAACACCCGCGTTTTTTTTGGAACTAGTGACCTCCTTTGCGGAACTATCGCTGGAATTTCGAAGTCGTACCAGTCATACTTTTAGGGTTTATCGCTGGAATATTGCGGCACCTAATAATTGACGTAAAAGTTCAGTTTCACAAGAGCGCGAATCTATCTTCTGCATCCCGTCGGCCCGACGTGGCATGAATGCCTTGTCAAAAATCTGTTCATACCTCCGTCCACGCTGCCAAAGCATTCGACCACTGTTACCACACAAAAGAGACGAACCACCACCACCATACCCCACCGCACTCATTCACGCCAAATCAAGGCAGAAACTTGGGAGGGAAAGTTGCTGAGGGGAACTATTCAGTGTCGTGAAGTGCAGGAGGCAGGCAATCTGTGCCACCGTGTTGAGTTCTGTACTGTATTCTGTTTCTTCGCTTCCCGTAACCTAATTAAATTGACGACCACCCAGGCACACCGTCCGCCACGCCTCACTCGCTCGCCACTTCCCACACAACGGAGTGGCGGAAGAAGCATGAGTGATTGGAGTTCGACGCTGCAGGAGCAACAGGAAAGGCTGACGAAAGTTTCTAGCTTTCGATGCTCCGTCTCACGTAGAAGCTGCGACGCTGCAATCAGAATAGGCCCCACGTGCCGCTGCTTGGCCACATGATGCTCGGATGCTCGTCTCCTTGCCTCATGGCTCGACGAATACCTCAAGACTAACATTCACTGCGCTACGCCATGGACCCGTTTCTTGTTCTTCTAACTGTAGAATGATTACAGAAGCGCCTGTACAGATATCTTCCACAGGTTGCATGCAAAGTCGGATCTTGCTAACCTTACGCTTGCTCCACTGAACCGCTGACCTAGGGTAGGGTAGGCGTGATAGACGGCGCCGTTGATTTCAGCATCGTAGAGCGCCAAATTTTCATATCGATTTACCGTCGAGGAATAAAATTAGGGTTTGTGTACCAACAGCGTTCGAAGGTCGTTCGGCGTGTTCGCACCAATAGACGTTCTCTAAGCAGCCTTCGCGGCAAGCACCGTGCGACGAACGAGCCGGGTGCATTCTTTCGATTTCCGTTGTCCCTTGTTGCGTGAGAGAGGTCGTTCAAGGTCGAGCACGCATATGCTCTTCCGCTTGCCTTGCCACCGCAGGACTCGTGCGGCTCTGAGTCGCCGCTGTAGCTAACACCGAAGTGTCCTCTTTGAAGCGTCCTCGTTAAAGGAAGTCGGCTAGAGCTGAGGGGGCGAGGAGGAGGAGGAGGGGGAGGAGGAGGAGGAGGCGGAGAAGGAGGAGGCGGAGGAGGCGGAGGAGCGGAAGCGGTAGGCTTTCTTTCATGAATTCAGCAGCAGCAGCAGGAAGAGGAGCGGGGAACCAGCAGCAGCTGAAAACTGGCAGTAGCGGGGAACCAGCAGCAGCTGAAAACTGGCAGTAGCGGGGAACCAGCAGCAGCTGAAAACTGGCACTAGCGGGGAACCAGCAGCAGCTGAAAACTGGCAGTAGCGGGGAACCAGCAGCAGCTGAAAACTGGCAATAGCGGGGAACCAGCAGCAGCTGAAAACTGGCAGTAGCGGGGAACCAGCAGCAGCGGAGCCACAGGGTGTGGAGTGGGTACAGCAGCACTGAACGAATCCTGAGTAGTTCAAACTCAGCACGAAATGCAGCCAGGAACAGACGAAGAGGCCACAGGGGGAGGGGGAGCGGGAGGGGGAGGGGGAGCAGGGGGGTTGGGGGGGTCTGGGAATGCGGGGGCAGCGGCGACGGCGGCGGCGTTCTTCCCCAGGGGCATGCGCGTGCTGGTGGTGGACGACGACCCGCTGTGCCTCATGATCCTCGAGCGCATGCTGCGCCGCTGCAACTACCAAGGTGCGCTGCTGCCTGCCTGCCTGCCTGCCTGCCTGCCTGCCTGCCTGCCTGCCTGCCTGCCTGCCTGCCTGCCTGTCTGCCTGCCTGCCTGCCTGCCTGCCTGCCTGCCTGCCTGCCTGCCTGCCTGCCTGCCTGCCTGCCTGCCTGCCTGCCTGCCTGCCTGCCTGCCTGCCTGCCTGCCTGCCTGCCGCACCGCTGCGTCGTGCCACCTTGCTCATGCCTGTGCCTGTTGCCTGCGCTCCTCGTCCTCCTCCAACCAACTATCCCCGGTGCCTGATACAGCTGCACCTACTTCCTTTTCCCACCCACCCCAGCCCCCTTCTTTCCCCCGCCTTCCCCCCCGCTCCCCCCTCCTCTTCCCCCTTCCCGACCCCATTCCGGCATCCTTACCCACTCCTGGGGCATCCATTTGCCATCTCTCTCTCCACCTCAGCACCTCCCACGGCCCCTCCCTATGAAGCAGTACTTTTAGGGTTATTAAGGTCTTCACGCTGCTGCTGCTGCCCTCGCCGCCGCCGCCGCCGCCGCTGCTGCTGCTGCTGCTGCTGCGGACTGTGCTTGGACTCCGCATGCTTTGCTGCCTGCGAGCCCCGCTAACCTGTGTCCCCAATCCTTTCCAGCTTCTGCACTCCTGCTGAGTGTGCACAAGAGCATGCTTTTCCTCATCGTCGTGCTTGTTTTTCAATAGGTCCATCCACCCATGTTGCCACCTACTCGTTGACAGAAGGTCCCTCCTCTTCTCCCTCTCCCTCTCTGGCCCCCCTCTCCCGCTGCACCCACGCCCACCGTGCACCTTACCCATGCCCTGCCCTCACTCCATCCTCATTCTGCCCACACTCTCCCCACACTCTCCCCCCCCTCACTCACTCCGCCCCCCAGTGACAACATGCAACAAGGCGACGACAGCATTAGCGCTGCTGAGGGAGGGGCGGGAGGCGTACGACCTGGTGATCAGCGACGTGTACATGCCCGACATGGACGGCTTCAAGCTGCTCGAACGCATCGGCCTTGAGATGGACCTCCCTGTCATCAGTGCGTTCCCTTTCCCTTAAGCACTCTCTGTCTGCCAAGTTCGACCTGGTGATCAGCGACGTGTACATGCCCGACATGGACGAGATGTGTTCAAGCTGCTCGAACGCATCGGCCTTGAGATGGACCTCCCTGTCATCAGTGCGTTCCCTTTCCCTTAAGCACTTGCACTCTCTGTCTGTCAAGTTCGACCTGGTGATCAGCGACGTGTACATGCCCGACATGGACGAGATGTGTTCAAGCTGCTCGAACGCATCGGCCTTGAGATGGACCTCCCTGTCATCAGTGCGTGCCCTACTGCCCTGCTGCTGCCCTGCTACTGTTGTGCCAGGCGCGCTGCTGCTGTCCCAGGCGCGCTGCTGCTGTAGTGTGCGTGCTGTATCTGGCAGTACGTCATGAGCCGCCGCTCGTCCCCCTCCTCTTACTCTACTTACACATCTCCTCCCCTTTCCTCCCCAATCTCCCTTCCTCCCCCCTTCCAAACCGCCCCTCCGTTTCTGTTCCTCCGCTCTCTCACCGCCCTCAACCCCTCCCACTCCACCCGTCCCCCATCCCCCACCCCGCCCCCACTCCCCCAGTGATGAGTGCGAACGGGGAGACGAGTGTGGTGATGAAGGGCATAACGCACGGGGCAGTGGACTACCTCTTAAAGCCCGTGCGCATCGAGGAGCTGCGCAACATCTGGCAGCACGTCGTGCGCCGCCGCACCTCCCACCACATCAAGGAAAGTTCTGGTCGCACAGTTCTTCCAGGTCGCACAGGTCTTCCAGGTCGCACAGTTCTTCCAGGTCGCACAGTTCTTCCAGGTCGCACAGTTCTTCCAGGTCGCACAGGTCTTCCAGGTCGCTCAGGTCTTCCAGGTCGCTCAGGTCTTCCAGGTCACTCAGGTCTTCCAGGTCACTCACAGGTTTCTCTCATGTTGCTCATATCGCACACTCGTTCTATCTTTATGCACCCCCCTCCCCCTCTCCCTGCCAATTTTTTCCACCTGGTCTGACTATCCGTCCTCCCCTCCCCTCCCCCCCCCTCTCCCTGTCTCTTCTCGCCTTCCTCTCTCCTATTGCTCCCCTCCCTCTATCCCCTCTCGCCTCCTTTCTCTCTTTATGTCACTCGTCCCTCTGTTGACCCTCTTTGCGAGCACCCTACTGTCGCATTCCTCTTTTGTCCCTCCCCTCTTCTTGCCTTCCCATTTTGCCCGTAAAAACATGCATCTGATAAGCATTTGAGGTTATTGTCCCCCAGCATATTGCCTCACACTCATTCACTCCCGTGTCCCCCTCCCCTCTCCCCCGTACCCCCCTCTCCCTCCCTCCCTGCGTGTTCTTTGTGCGTGCAACTCGTGTCCTTGCCGCGTGTGGGTGTGCCATGTGCCATGTGCTCTGTGTACCACTGCTGTGTGTGCGTGCAGGGCGAGGAGCACTCAGGCAGTGTGGAGGAGGAGGAGCTGAGGCGCATGCGGGACGGCACACACGACCCTGCCAGCAGCAGCGGGGGCGGGGGAGGGCTTGGCGAGTGGGAGTCTACACACCCAGACGCAGAAACAGGGGCAGGGGGAGGTGCAGGAGGGGGAGGAGGAGGAGCAGGGCAGGGGGCGTCAGTCTCTCGGTCGCCTTCTAGGAATGAAGGCGCGCGGTTGGGGAAGAGAAGCGTCGAGGCTGCTTTTGGGGAGGAACGGGGGGAGTATGGTGGAGGAAGAGGAGAGAGGGGGGGGTTGGGAGGTGGGGAAGGAATGAAAGGTGGCGAGGAGAATGCAGCAGGGGAAGCAGACTTTGTTGCCGCTGCAAATGCCACTGCTGCTGCCGCTGCCGCTGCTGGGCTTGGGCTTGGGGCTGGTGGGGACGGTGGTGGAGGCGGCATGTTGAGTGCGGGAATGGGGTATATGGGTCGGTTGCCGTATGTGGTGGAGGAGGGAGAGAGCGACATGGTGGGGGGGTTGAAGAAGGCGCGGATTATCTGGAGTGTGGAGCTGCACCAGCAGCTTGTCAAGGCCGTTCACCACCTCGGCGTTGACAGTGAGTGCAGTGCGGTGCTGAGCAGAGCTGTGCGGTGTTGTGCGGTGCTTTGTTGTGTTGTGTTGTGCGCAAGGGCAATACAGCAGCGGCGAGCTGGGAACTTCTGGATGGCAGGACGCTGCTGGGGTGTGGTTTGTCTGCTTTTCCTTGGGAAGAAGGGGGGAGGGAGTTGGGGAAGAAGGGGGGAGGGAGTTGGGGAAGAAGGGGGGAGGGAGTTGGGGAAGAAGGGGGGAGGGAGTTGGGGATGAAGGGGGGAAGTAGGGAGACTTGGTGGGAGAAGGGAGGGAGGGAAACGAAAGAATGGGGAGGTACAAATGGGTGCTCTGTGCTGTGCGTACATACGTGGCTGGTGGTGTGGTTCCATGCACTGAAAGGCCTGCTCCCCATCTCTCCATCGTCTCCCCATCACACACCCACCCCGCTGCTTTGAATGTCACCTTCCTCTCCGATCTGCTCCCTCTCCGATCTGCTCCCTCTCCGATCTGCTCCCTCTCATTATCCCTGTACCATACCCCCTCTTTGTTCTCCCCTCCCTCAACCCCCTACTTACTCCGTCCCTCTTCCCCTTCCTTCCCCCCACTCCCCCTTCCTCACCCTTCTTCCCTTCCAACCCTTTCCAACGTCACATTCTAACCCTTTCACCCCTACCCTCTCCCAACCCCTGTGGGTACATTGCGGGGTGGCAGAGGCGGTGCCAAAGAAGATACTGGAGATGATGGGAGTGCCGGGCCTCACACGGGAGAACGTTGCTAGCCACCTGCAGGTACTGCTGCTCTCTGCTCTGCTCTGCTCTGCTTTGCTCCGCTCTGCTCTGCTCTGCTCTGCTCTGCTCTGATCTGCTCTGCTCTGCTCTGCTCTGCTAGCCCACGCCTCTCCCACATACAGCATGCCATGCCATGCCGTGTCATGCCTTGCCGTGCCATGTCATTCCATGTCATGCCATGTCATGCCATGCCGTGCGATGTCATGCCATTCTTCTGGTCCTCCATTCTTCTGTAAGGCACCAGTCCTCCACCTGCCTTCACGGCACCACAAAAGTATTGAGATGCCATTTGAGTCAACTTAAAACACATCTCATCGCACCTCGCTGCCGCCACCGCACCACGAGGCACTAGCTGCTTCACCAGCTTTCACAACAGGCAGTCAGTGAAATGGTCGCGGTAATATCAGGCACGCGACCTATGATATCCTTCCCTTTCCATTCACCATGTGTGCTTCCCTCTCCCATGCACACTGTCTCCTCCCCCATCCCCTCTCTGCCCTGTCCTGTTCCACTGCCCCCCATCGCTTCCTTCTCTCCTTCTCTGTCATGCCATCCCCGCCCTCCTCTCTCTGCCGCCCTCTTGTTTTCTTTCCCCTTCCCTGCCTCCTCCTCTCCGACTCCCCCCCCACGCACCTACGTAACACCCCCTCTTCCCAGAAGTACCGCCTATATCTGAAGCGCTTGAGTGGCATGGCGGAGTCTGGGATTTCCGCTGCTCCTTCTGCTGCTCTCTCTTCCACCCCAGCTCCCATCTCCTCCGCCCCTCCTACCGCTGCTGCCGCTGTTGGCAGCGGCAGCAGCGGCGGGGCTCCGGGCAGTGCGAGTGGGGGAGGGCGGGGGGTGGGGGGAGAGGGAGGGGGAGGAGGGGGTGGGGAAGGGGAAGGGGGAGGGGGAGGGGGAGGGGGAGGGGGAGGAGGTGGAGGGTCAACGGGTGATGGTGAAGGAACAGGGCGGGGAGGGATGGGGGAGAGGCCGGGCATGGGCTCTGCAAGTGGTAACAGAGGCAGTTCTGCTGCTGTAGCTGCTGCTGTTGCTGCTGTCGCTGCTGTTGGATGCGGTGGGGGGGGAGGGGGAGAAAGAGGGGGCGGTGGTGGGTGTATGAGTGGCGGTGCTAGTGGTGCAGGCAGGGAGTGCATGGGAGGAGGTGATGTGATGGGGCGATCAGGAGAGACACCAGAGGAGAAAGCAGAGCTGTTGCATAGGAGAGCAAAGGCGGCGGGTACACCTGCTGACGACAACACTGCTGCTGCTGCTGGTGGTTATGGTAGCAGCGATATCCTAGGCGGTATTGACAATGCAATGCTGCTGTCTCTGATTCAGAAGCACGGGTCTGTGGAGGCAGCTGCTGCTGCGCTCACAGGTGCAGCAGCTGTAGCAACAGGAGGTCCCGCAGGAACAACAGTGGCAGCTGCAGCAGCGACAGCGGCAGGGGCGGGGGGATTGGCTAGGACTCGAGCAGCCCAGGATCATAGCATCGGAGGGAGGCCCGGCATGGGATCTTGGTCCGGCGGCTCGCCCGGGGTGAGGTTTGGAATGGATGCCCTTGGTGGTAGGGGAACTGAGGGGGTTGGTGTAGGAGGTAGCGGAGGAGGGGGGGGAGGAGGGGGGGGGAGGAGGGGGGGGAGGAGGGGGGGGAGGAGGGGGGGGAGGAGGGGGAGGAGGAGGGGGAGGAGGAGGGGGAGGAGTAGGAGGGGGGAGAGGAGGGGGGGCAGGTGGAGGAGGAAAAGGAGGAGTCGGAAGCTCAGCTGCTTTCTTAGCAGGGCAAGGCATGGGCCTGTCAAGGGACTGGGCTGGGCTGGGAGGGATTGACACTACTGCTGCTGCCGCCGCCGCTGCGGCTGCTGCTGCCGCTGCTGCTGGTGCTGGGGATTTGGGTGCTGGTGGGGCTGGGGTGGGGGAAGGTGTGGGTGACCTGGGTCAGCTGAGAATGCTGCTGCACCTGCAGAGGATGGCACGCGGTGGGGCAGGCGGGGCGGGTGGGGCAGTGGAGAGCGGGGCAGGAATAGTAGCAGATGTGGGCTTGGGCAGAGGAGGCTTGGCAGAGGGCAGCAGAGCAGCTGCGGCTGCAGCAGCAGGGGGAGCAGGAGGGGGTGGAAGGAAAGGAGGTGGTGGGGGGATAACCATGGGGATTGGGGGGAGAGGGGGTGGGGTGGGAGCTGTGACAGCTTTGGATTCGCTGCTAGCTGGAGCAGCAGCAGGAGTAGTAGGAGGAGGAGGAGGAGGAGGAGGAGGAGGAGGAGGAGGAGGAGGAGGAGGAGGAGGAGGAGGAGGAGGAGGAGGAGGAGGAGGAGGAGGAGGAGGAGGAGGAGGAGGAGGAGGAGGAGGAGGAGCAGGGGCAGGTGGGCAGGGAAGCAGGCTACAGCAGCAGCTACAGGTTGGTTTGGGTCTGAAACTTTGAGAGGAGACAGTGCGTTGAAAGGATTGGCTGTCTGCTCTGGTTGCCCCCCCCCCCCCCCCCTCTTTTCCCCTCCCTCCGCTCTCTCTCCGTCTACCTCCTTCCCCACCTCTCCCTTCCTCCCTCTCGTTCCCTCGCTTCTCTTGCTGCCCTTCTTCTCTCTCCCTCTCTAGCCCCACTTCAGCACCAGTTCTAAAAACTTATTCAAGCCCCGCTGCATCTTTCCTTGCTCAACCAATAAACCGCCTCGCAATCCAGTCCGTTGATCAACCTCCTGTGCATGCCCTCTGCTCGCCTGCCTGCTCCTCCTCCCCTGTGTACCGCATGGCATGGCAGCACCTCACCTCTGTCGCCTCTGCTGCCGGTGTGGAGCCGACCACTCTACTCCGCTTCTTGCAGCTACAGGCAAGTGTGCTGAGCACACACGCTTCGTGCTAGTACTACTGTCTAGTGCTAGTTTTCATTTGACTGGGTGTATGTACTGGGTGTTACCCATTGCATTTCCGCACACTCTAAGGCTCATGGTCGCATCACCACCACATGTTGATGGTCCCTTTTTCGTTCCTTCCATTCCCACCCGCTTTTTGCCTTTGTTCGCCGCCTCCTCCTCTCCCTACTAACATCCTCCTCTTTTCCGTTGCATGTGCACACCTTCTTATTCTCGCAACAGCAGCAGCAGCAGCAGCAGCAGCAGCAGCAGCAGCAGCAGCAGCAGCAGCAGCAGCAGCAGCAGCACTTGCAGCAAGCAGGGCAGGTGGATCCTTCTCTTCTTCCACACTTAACCCCTCACAACCCTGCTTTGGCACGGCTTGAAGGCGAGCAGCAACAGCAGCAGCAGCTGCTACAGAAGCAGCACCTCTTGCGGCTGCTTCAACAGCAGCAGCAGCTGCAGCAGCAGCAGCAGGAACAAGAGCAGGAACAAGCCCAATTGCCGCAGCTGCTGCAGCAGCAACAACGGCAGCAGCAGCAGCTGCAGTTACAAGCACGCTTGCAGATGCTTCAGTCGAACCACATCGCTGCTGTTGCAGCAGCGGAAGCAGCAGCAGCGAGTGGTGGGGGTGGCAACAGAGGAGGGCTTGGTCTGTCTCGCCACTCCTTGGCTGCAGCCGAGCTTCTGTCACAGGCTAAACTGCAAGGTATAGACCCAGCAGCTGCTGCCCTTGGTATTCGAGAGTTGCTTGCTGCTGCAGGAGAGGCAGGTGGAGGAGGTATAGCTGCTGCTGGCGCTGCAGCTGGTGCTGCTGCTGCTGGTGGCGGTGTCGCAACGAGAGCTGGCGCAGCGGGTGCTATGGTGGAGTCAGGAGGAGTGGGGAGCGGTGGTGCTCTGTCGAGCGTGTTTCTGCCAGACGGTAGCATCAGCATTGCGGGTATTCTCTCTCAGCCGGGATTCGACCCGGAAAATCTCCCCCTAGTTCTGCAGCAGCTGCAAAAGCAGCAGCAGCAACAGCAGCAGCAGAAGATGCTTTATTTGCAGCAGCAGCAGCAGCTGAGAGTAGCAGGAAGGTTGGGAACATCAGGGGGGGGGCTAACAGAGAGAGGAGGGGCAGGAATGGCAGCAGGGGAGGGGGCAGCAGGAGACTCAGGTTCTTCTCCCCACCCTGCCACTGCGAGAGTTGTAGCAGCAGCTGCAGCAGCTACTGGTACTGTTGGTACTGGCTCTGGCGGTTTTGGTGGTGGTGGTGGTGGTGGTGGTGGCGGCGGTGGTGGTGGTGGAGGCGGCGGTGGTGGTGGCGGCAACACCGGTGGCAGCGGTGGTGGTGGCGGCGGCGGCGGTGGTGGTGGTAGCAGTGGTGCGGGTGGGGGTGGAGGCTCGTCAACCAGCACCCCCGATAGCAACAACGACTTGCTTCTGCAGTTCCTGAAGCAGCAGCAGCAGCAGCAGCAGCAGCAGCAGCAGCAGCAGCAGGGGCGGGAGAAGCCAGGGGCAGCACAGCAGCAGGAGGTGGAGATGAGGAGGCAGAAGGAGCAGCTTCAGGCGCAGCTTCGGGCTCACCAGGAGCAGCAGCAGCGGCAAAGGCAGCAGCTGCAGAAACTGCAGCAGCAGCAGCAGCAGCGGCTGCAGCAGCTGCAACGGGAGAAGCAGCAGCAGCAGAAGCAACAGCAGCAACAGCAACAGCAGCAGCAGCAACAGTTGCAGCAACAGCAGCAGCAGCAGCAGCAACAGCAGCAGCAGCAGCAGCAGCAGCAGCAGCAACAGTTGCAGCAGCAGCAGCAGCAGCAGGGGAAAGGCCAGCAGGGGCAGAACCACGGAGGGATTGGTAGGCTTGTTGCTGCTGCTGGTGGCGGTGGAAATGGTGGCAGTGGCGGTGGCGGGGGCGGGGGTGGTGGCGGTGGTGTTGGTGGAGGGCCGAGCAGTGTGACGGGTGCAGTGAGGAATGCAGTGAAAGAGGAGGAGGTGGAAGGGGATCTAGAGCGGTTGGCTCATTCCCTCACAGATGAACAATTCATGGCTCTGTGCCGTGCTCGCATGGGCACTGCTGCTGCCAACTCCTCTGGCGGCGCTCCCTCTGCCTCCCACTCCCAGCAGCACTCGTTTCCAAACAAGCCGCAGCAGCAACAACCGCCGCAGCAGCAGCAGCAGCAGCTAAGGCGGAGGGTTTCGAATGAGAGGAGGGGGGGGATGGGCGGGGAGGAGGGGCAGCAGTGGATGGGGGTCGAGCAGGAGAGTGTTTCAGGTGGTATGCGGTCTTATGGAGAGGGCACGGAGGGCATGGGTGGTGCAGGAGGCATGTGCAGAGAGCCCGCTGTCTCTGAGCAGAGTTCCATGCATGGCCCCAGGCCAGAAGGGGGCGAGAGTGGTGCAGGCAAGGGGGGCAGTGGAGCGGGGATAGGGAGAGGAGACAAATGGGGAGAAGGAGGAGGAGGGGGGACGGGAGGAGAGGGAGGAGGAGAAGGAGGGGGTGAGAGCTTGAAGGTTAAAATGGAGGAGGAGGTGGGTGGGGGGGAACAGATGGGTGGTGTGATGATGGAGAGGGGAGGAGCAGCAGCAGCGTCTGCTGCTCTCACTGACAGTGCCACTGGTGGGTTAGCTGCTGCTGCTGCTGCTGCTGCTGCTGCTGCTGAAGGTGTGGGTGTTGTTGCTGCTGCTGATGAGTTTGGTGAAATCACAGGAGCTGCAGCAGCAGTAGATGAAGAAAAAGGGGGAGTGGGAGTGGGAGCAGCAGGCGTAGCAGCAGCAGCAGCAGCAGCAGCTGCAGCAGGGCGAGCGGAGGGTGACATGGAAGTGATGGGTGGAATAGGAATGGCAGTGTCTGACGCATGGTTGACTGGAGACTGGGAAATGGACATGATGTGTGGAGGGGGAGGAGGAAGGGGAGGCGAGGGGATCGGAGAGGGGCAAGTGGAGAGCTTGGGTTTGCAGAGCAGCTTGGAGCAGCAAGAGCAGCAGGAGAGGCTACTGGGAGGAGGTGCACTGGTTTCGGAGAGTGTGGGGCTGGTTGGTTCGCGAGGGGGAGAGATGGAAGCGATGGGGATGGTGATGTGTGGGGGGGGCCGTGCAGCAAGCGGCAACACAGAGGACCTCATCCACCTAATATGGCCGCAGGTGAGCGACTACTGCCCTGCTGCCCTGCTGCCCTGCTGCCCTGCTGCCCTGCTGCCCTGCTGCCCTGCTGCACTGCTGCACTGCTGCACTGCTGCACTGCTGCCCTGCTGCCCTGCTGCCCTGTTGCCCTGCTGCCCTGGGCCCTGTTGCCCTGTGTCCTGCTGCCTTGCAGGTTTTACTAATTACGTGTAAATGCTCTTCTCAACCTCTTGTGCATCTTCGCCCTTGCTTCCCGTCCACCGGCTTTCGCTCCTGCGCCTGTTTGTCTGTCTCCGAGTTGTGGTTTCTCCAAGACACTGAAAGTCCTCTTGCTGTCAACAACCTGACCGCTTCCATCTCAGGCCCTGTCTTGCCTCTCCCTCCCCTAGGCGCCTTTGTACCAGCTCATCACTGTCCCATCCTCCCCGCTGCATTGCAGTCACTTTTGAGAATTCTCAAAAGCGACTCAGATTTTGAGAATTCTCAAAAGCGACCTGTCTTGCCTCTCCCTCCCCTAGGCGCCTTTGTACCAGCTCATCACTGTCCCATCCTCCCCGCTGCATTGCAGTCACTTTTGAGAATTCTCAAAAGCGACTCAGATTTTGAGAATTCTCAAAAGCGACCTGTCTTGCCTCTCCCTCCCCTAGGCGCCTTTGTACCAGCTCATCACTGTCCCTTCCTGCCCACTGCTCGCAGTCACTACACCCCTTCGTTTTCTAATGCGTGTTTCCTGTTCTTCCATTCCCTCCCCTCTGTGTTGTACTGTGTTGTGCTGTGCTGTGCGGTGCGGTGCGGTGCGGTGCTCTGCTGTGCGGTGCTGCGGGGTGGGCAGGATGGGTCCATGTTTGCGGACACGGAGCTCACAAGCCCACACATGGGAGCAGCCTTCTCAGAGCAGCTCAGCCCTCCATGACTGTTACCATTACATCCCTCTCACCATCACATCCCTCTCACTCACCATCACATCCCTCTCAACCTCTCACTGCCTTATCTCCTGGGACAGCAAGCAAGCAAGCACTGAGACACCTTGCATTGCAGCCACCCAAAGCCTGCACTGTAGCCAGAGTAACGGAATGCACACCCTTGCATCGCCTCTCCACACCTCGTCAGCATGGGGATTAGATCCGTGAGGCAAAGGCTTGTGCAGATGTGTTGCGTGAATGCGAATCAGTTAATCCTGTTGCTGCGATTGATAATACAGACAGGTGCACTGAGCTTCATACCGGCATGCTCACTTCAGAAGGGCATGCGAAAATGGAGGGGTGTCATCCCCAGATTTCCGGATACAGTGGCCGACCCAAAAGGTGGTGTGCATACAGCTGCATAAAAATTGCCAGATGTATTCCCGTGCATGGCATCAGCACTCGTGGATCCTGTCGGAACTGTTGGAAATCCGAATACAGTATAACGAATATTGTATACCGGTGTGCTGTTTGGTTTTAGTGTAGTCATCTTTATAAGCTTCCAGGTCCTACAATAATTGTCACAATTATTGTAGGACCACAATTAGGGCGTGTTCCTACGGCCTCATATCAGGAAACCTCGTATCAAGAATGCTGTTTTTGCCTGGTAAAACTAGCGAGAGGTTTTGGGTTTAGGGGAATTTTCAGTGTGAGCCTCATACGAGGTTATCTTGATACGAGGATAAGAACATGTTCTTATTGGAGCTCAGCATTATTGGGGGGTAGAGGGTACAATTATTGGTACACCATTATTGGTGAATGGGGTCATTCTGGAGGGATAGCTGGATGCATATATACCCTGTTGTGTCACTTCATCATTATCATTGAGCCACCATTGTGTCATCATTCACCTTTTCAATGATCAACATGTTCCTAGTGCAAGATTTCTATCTTGTTCTTTTCTACAAACACGTTTCCGTTACGTTGGCACTATGCCTTTCTAGCATGGTATCAGAGCTACTCTAAGGGGCATGCTGCCAAATTTGGTTTAGGAATTTACTGGCATTTACATCGGATAGGTACCTGCATACAGTCAGAGTACCGCACACCCGGTCTACGCTGTTGTATACCTGGTGTTCGCTTCTGGGTCCAATCGCGCGTTTACCGCACACTTGGTGGACGGTTTTGTCAAGGTCATGGCACACTTCGATAGCGAAGTGGATCCTGGATATGCGGGGCTTTTGAAGAAGCCATCATGGCTCAGCATGAGCACCTGGAAAGCATGATTGCAAAGGCACCACCAGCACTCCAAGCTTCGTTAAGAGACAAGTTTGGAATGACAATCCAGCCAAGGACAACGTTCTCTCATGAGTCCAGCAATCCGTCCACCCGTGGACACTCTCATTCAAGCACTCCGCGTACTAACCAAAACCGTGCATCAAATGTTCATGCAGGGATTGATGGTGAAGGGAAAATGATCATACCTCAAGGAGGAGAGTCATTCCAAGGGAGGGATGCATCCGTCCAAGGGGAGGAAAGCGCCAATCCCACACCTCAATCATCCATGCAAAGGGAAGCACGGGGGAGGAATGATGAGTATGACAGTGCAGTGCATGGTGGAATGAGAAGTGGACAGATTGGGCAGCAGGGTGACGGAAATGGTCAAGTGGGCGTGGAAGGTGTGGGTTTTGCTTCCTACACTATTGGTGCTCCCCCACTACGACGACTTGCGACTAACTCCCATCCCATTGGAGTTCCTCCCATGGCCAGGGCTCACCTTCGTGGCGGCAATGACATACCTCCACGTGCACCACGTCCACCGATAGGAGTACATCCTGTGGACAGCATGGGACGGATGGGATACGGAATGCAGTCAAGTGGCGTCATGCGACGTGATCAAGTGGAAGTGCTGGAACGTCAACTTGGTGGACAGAATGGGGACATGCAGCGCACGGTTCAGCTACCTCGACCGTCAATCGTGCCTACTCTCTTCGACCCCACTCCATGTGAATATACGGAAGAAGACAAGGAACGGCTGTCACGCAAAATGGTGGGAGCAACGGTGGACAAGGCGTTCACCATCACTCCGTTTGACGGCTCCAACTTCCGGGAGTGGGCACTACGGTTTCGTATGAATGCTCGCGTCACGAATCTGTGGGAGTTCTTTGTGACCCTGCATTATCCGGTTACCATGGGAGATAGTGACATTGACGACGCTATGGGACGGCTTGAAATGCTACAGGTGGATTACTCGCAGCGTGCGGCGCTCGCCTTTTGGGTCCTACTGCACAGCGTGAGCGCTACGATTCAGCTACAGCTGGACATGTTTCAGGAATCCTACAGCCCGGCATATGAAGCATGGGAGTATTTAATGGACACTTACCAGGCCAAAGATTCGGTGGCGAAGGTGTCTCTCATGAAGCAGCTGGACAACCTGAAAATGGGGAACGCGGAAAGGGTGGAGGAGTACGTCAACCGCGCAACAGCAATCCGGGACAAGTTAGCACTGGCGGGAAAGATGGTGGATGAGGACACATTCACCTTAAATCTGCTCACCGGACTACCAGCGCATTGGGAGGAGATGAGGCACTCGGCAATGCTACACAACGTGACGGACAGCTTCACCTTGCAGCGGATGATGATTCAGGAGCAGAGGTATCACGACCTCATCACGAAAGATAACCGTGACCGGCGTCCACCTCGCATGGCTGGACAAGCACGTGGAGACCGCTCACCTTCTCCAACTGCTAAGGGCAATAGCGGGAAGGAGGGGTCCGTTGGGGAGAAAACGCATGGCAAGGATGGAGATGCAAGTCGCTCATCTCTCGTATGTTGGTACTGCAAGGAGCCAGGCCACCCCTTCTTCAAGTGTACCAAGGCACCCCCTGGCTGGTCACCACCAAGGTGGGAACCGCATACCCGCGGGAGGACAAAACTGCATACCGGCAACAATCGTTCGTTCTCCCCACGAAGGAGTGGCAGCCCCACGCGTGACAACGATGCGTCAAAATAGCAAGGGGCAGCCGGGGAAGATAAGCAACGTACTGTCACATGCATTACAACGGTGGTATCTTCACAAGCCGCCTTACCACCAGCCAAAACGTCATCATGGTTGCTGGACAGCGGATGCAGCCAGCACATGACTTCGGATAAGCGCTGGTTTGAAGAGTTAAAGGAGCTGGACGAAGCTGTTTTTCTGGAGCTCGCTGATGGGAGCCAGCTGAGCAGCACGATGACAGGAACGATCAGAGCAATGACACCTGATGGGACAACAATTCGCTACACTGAAGTCCTCTACGTACCTGGCCTGAAGAGCAACCTGCTCTCCTATTGTCAGCTGCTGAAAAAGGGGGCGCGCATCAATACCATTGCTAATGGAGACACTGAGATCACCATGACTGATGGAGGGGAGTACGTGCGGATTGGACTTGGCAAAGACGTGCATGGAGTGCTCGTGGTACAGTATGAGCCTGCATTTACATCCGCCCATGATCTTGGACATTCCCGTGATGGCGCGTCATCGAATCAGGTTGATCATGAAGGGGTTACCCTTTTCCGCACACCTGGTGTGCACATTGACGCACATGGGAGCATGGATTTCCGCACACCTGGGATGCACTCGAGTGGCAAGTCTGCACATGCATCTGTCACATACCGCATGGCACACAAAGCAAGCATCGTGCGGAACCCGGTACATGATGATACCACGTATGAAGTCTCACCCCACGTTGCGGTGTGGACTTCAGGGGAAGAAGGACAAAGGTCCGCGGTGGATTCGGGAGTCGATGGAGCAGACCCTGTAAAACAAGACTTACCTGGAGCTGACGCAGCTGATGAAGTCAGTGTAGTCGAAGGAAGTGGAGATGCTGCAGCAGATGACTTACCTGCAGCAGGAGTGATTGTACCAGAGGAGGTTGAAGGCAATGATGCTGAAAACAATGTGGGATGTGCACGAACGGGCGTACCATCTCCTGATGACCGTCAAGTCAAGGATTGTGGTGTTGTACTCACCTGTGCGGCCTCCTCGAGCTGTGCTACACAACGTGGCGTCACTTAACTCCACACTCACTCATGTGCCGGTAGCTGTGTACGCGGTTACGTGCATGACTACAAGCACATGGGTGGGGGGGGGGGGGGTGTGGAGTGTATCTGGTGGCACAAGAGTGGGATATGGAGTCAAGGAGCATAAGGGGAAGACCTACTCACCAAGGGTTGCCAATAGGCAAGGGGAGCAGGCAGAATGGATGCAGCTGGTCGTCATCCGTTGTGATGCAGCAGTATCGTGCGACTGGTTGCTGCTGATGAACGGCACCATCTGAGGGAAGAATGGAGAACATACATGGGAGCACGCATTACTGCATACCTAGTGTGCACAGTTCCGCATACTTGGAGTGCACTAAATGCTTGGAGTGCACAAAACTGCATACTTGGAGTGGACATTTCTGCATACATGGAGTGCAGATTTCTGGGATACTTGGAGTGTGTCGGGATGCGCAACTCTCCAGCTGATGGAGTTCGGCAACTCCGGCTGCTACAGTGTGTCGGCTGGAGTGTATGGGGAGCAACACAGGGCAACATGTGTGAAGTTTGAGCAAACTTGGCATCATTGCCAAGGCGTGGGGAGAAAGGCAAACGAAGATGCAGCAGGCGCGAATAGGAAAATGATGCAGCAGGCGTGCAGCAGATCGTCAGCCGCTGACGAACGCAAGGTCGTCGCTTCTATCGCGCGAAGTGTGCGCCCGCCAATGCAGTTCCGCGCTAGCCGTACGCCATGCGTTATCCACTACCGATTCACGTCATCCGCGGCTGCAGTCGTCGCAGACGCGCATCCAATGCGGTTTCGCGTCGTCGCACGGGAGGCGTGCAAAAAAGACAGCAGCACTGACAATCGCGTATCGTAAAGTCTACGGTTTCGAAAATTCGGCGTGCGCTAAGGGCATTCCGCCATGATGATACGCGCGTTCGCCATGGTTTTGAGGAGATTTCGCCATAGAGCTGCTACGAATCCCTT